CGATTCGTTAGTAAAACTCGTTTAACCTTTAGGACTGTATAAATATAATTGTACAACATTGATCAACTTTTTCGACACACCGACTCGCAAATTATTTGAGATTTCGATGTGCTTATGGGCGTATAGTTATTTTTATCTACGAGTATCATTAGTTTAGTTAAAAAATAAACTACGTTTCTTTTCATATTTACTCGAATGTATGGTCGTTGAACTCGTGGATATAATTTAAATTAATAATTATAGTCCGGGGCGATTCACATTCAAACGTATTTATTGTAATGTGAATTGTACCAACTAGAATATCGAGATAAATTGATTTTAGTTCAAATGTTTGTTTTATTCATTGAATGTATACGATCACATAAAATTCATTTCTGATTTAATAATTTGATCATTTAAATATATACAAAAAAAAAAAAAAAATCTTATGGCATACGGTTTAATTTATTTTTATTTATATATATTTTTCAAAAGACTTTTGGCAGTTATAGGTAACTGTGTACCATTTTATTTTTATAATAATTATAATATTATTGCTCTTAATTATTATTATGTAAGATATATATATACGAATATAAAACAATTAAAATATTTACGTAAAAAATATTGTATACACGTTATGATTTATTGAAGTTTTGTATGCATTGATTTATTTTATCCATAGGTTAAATCGGCGATTTTTTTTTATAACTTCATATAATTAAAGTGTAAATGATTAAGTGTTTACGAGGAAGAAGAAAATAAAGTTATAACGTTGATTAAAAATGAAACTCTATTTTTAAGTGTTTTTACTTTTTAATATGTGTTCGAGACACTTTACGGGCTTAACTTAAAGTAATGTACTGCGAAAATATAAACAGTTTCAATTTTAAATCTGAAAGGACTCGTTTTTTACAGCGTTCTTCTGAAAACTCGTTCGTGTTCGACTTTGACGCCATCAGTTAAGGTTTTCCAGACTGTTTCCAATCATCTTTCTCGAAGTGCTTATTGCAAAAGAATTTACTCCTGAGCAGCGCGCAATAAAATCTATATATTATAAGTTGGTTTTTTTCTTCTGTCCGTTCTATTGGAACGTTATTGGTCACGAAAAAAAAATAAATATTTTAATAATTTTCTGGACCATATGTTGCGTTTTGAGAGGAGGGGCACTTGAATCAGTGACCAACACGGGACGGCTATCGACCCGACGAGAAACGTTCCGTAACAACACATTGTCGTACGAACCGCACGCGTTGGTCGTATAGATCCTGACGTGCATGACCGTTGCGTTGCGGTCGACGGGAACTTACCAATTCGCAATGGCCGCGTGATCGGATAACGAAATTCACCGGGAAAAATAATCGTAGAACCGGACAAACAGTTATTACGTTGTTTCGATCGTGACAACGAACGAAATCGTGTCTTGTTGCGACTCCGGGTCGCGGCATATCAACGAGACGAAAACCACGAATTCGTATAGCGGTGCGCTCGACGTGAGGATCCGCGAAACGGACTGCCGATTTCGCTTTCGATCTTATTTACGACTTTGTCGTTGGGAAGAGAAGTGCTTTGGAAAGTGTACTGTACATACACAACGCAGTGTATTATACGCTTATTATTTTTTCTCAAAAACTCGTACACATACACACACACACACACACACACATACACACATATATATATATATATATATATATACATTATATGATATAATAGTCGATAAAATAAATTTAACCAAACATGCGCATTGTCTAGAGAATATTAAGTCCTTGTGTGAAACTTCTTCGCTCCGTGTCGTTCACTTGAAATGACTCTACTTTTTTGTTTTTGAACAAAAAAAATAAATAAAAATACAACCACCGGATATGGAAGTCCCGAGTGTTTCGCTCCTACCACACGCATTACATGTTAAAAGGAAAATGTGTTGTGTTTATACATTATATGTATTTATATATATATATATATATACGCAAAAATAAAAAGTTTGTTTACGGTAAATGAGGGGAAACTGACGTGTGTAACGTGTGTTGTATAGATGTTTTAAATTTCTGATCAAACGAGAACGGGAAGAAACGCCGAAAAAGTATTTACTACGATCGGTATTGGAGCTGAAAACAAAAAAAAAAAAATTGCTGAATATCATCTGAATTTCGATACATCGTTTTACACGATTTACATGGCTTGTATATTACCAGACACGTCGATCGGCGATTACAAATTTCATTTTTCGCTTGGTACGAATAAAGTGAAAATACGTATGTTTTAAGAATAATTTTTGCTTTTACGATGACCACTGAGGTATCGAATGATATTATTGGAATTTTTACCCTATCATTCTTGCAGTGACGTATTTAAGAGGAAGTTTAAATGAGAGCGTAGTTGATTTCTGCATATTTCCTACGGTTCTTTCGTATGGTTACGTTTCATTAGAATTACTGAATATCAATATTGTACTTGAAATATTGCACATATAATTTTATTATTATTTGAATCACTTTACAATAATGATATTATTTTATTTTTTTTTTTTTTTTTGATATTAATCTTATATACTCGAAACTGTCGCCAATATATTTTATAAAAACGAATAAAACAATTATGGATTTTGGAAAAAAAAGGGAACACCGCGATGACCTAAGTTTATGAACTAAATCATTACAATTTATCAATTCAAAATACCCATCTGATATGCCATCAATATGAATTTTATTAAACATGACGTGAGCTGTATTTGTAAACAAATGATTTAGGTCTATAGTCCGATAAAAATAAATGTCCTTATATGTGCTTATGTTTCTGTAATTGACACCTTCACCGTAGTTCTTTGGTTGTCATAAACGATGAATTATTGTCTAATAATATATATATATATTTTTTTTTTTTTTACGTAAGTTATGGTGAAATCATGATGATTTGTGACCAGAGAGAAAACAATATAAATAATATTTGAGTTGGGTTGTGAAAAACGAACAACGTGAACGAGATAACTATAAATCGGACTTTCCTCCTCCCAATAAGTTGTCGAAACCGTTAAGTTATTGAGGTATTATTACCATGTATTCAGACATAAGAACCAAAACATTAACCCGACACCAAATATATTATGAAATACTATTGTTTGAAAGTTTTATTTATTTATTTTTAAATTTATCAATCCCGGATTGATCGGAACCTTCGCACGAAACGATTTAACGACATTTTATTTTTCTGATATTATTATGTTTCCGAGTGTTCCACGGTTCAGTGTTATAATAGCATGCAAACCTTTTGGATCTATGTTTCGATCGACAAAGAAAACAAACGAGAAATCAGTCGACGCTCTTAAGAGTGATAATCATCACCGAAAGTTAACTAGGTCGGGGGGACCAATTACTATAAATATACACTGATTGGAGGGGGGAGGAAGCAATCAGTAGTATGTTCATGTCGAGAGCACTGCGAACGTGCAGGTCCAAAACGCTGGAACACACCGTACCAAAGACATGGATAATTTCGAAAAATTGTATTCAACGGGTACATTTATAGATTTTATCACAATACTATTTTTCCGGCGATTTTCAAAGCAAGTGAACAACGAAACTTTTACACACTTGCCACGGAGAAACGCTTTTCAGTAACATTGAAATTTCCTGCCTTATCTTAACGTTCTCGTTTCGATGAGGTCCCCACTTGCCAAGAATAATAGTTACCAACACTATTACAGATCAGTTGCAAATAATTTTAAATCACTTCGTTAATTTGACGTATTAAGACGGATTTTTATTTATATTTTATTATTTTTTTGCATTATTTTATGAAAATATGTTTTCTCACCACCGTATTATGTTGTTTTTTTGTTTTCGAAAGAATTAACTGAACATTTTCCTATAATTATATAGTAATTTCATATGAGACCCAATATTTTCGATTAAGAATTAAACGACACCATGAAAAACATAGTCCTCAATACTGTACTATAACACGTCACTGACCGAACGTTACTCCTTCATTATCGTCATAATCTGCAACCATTCTTCATTATAATTTAGGATTTTTCATCTCAACTCCAGACTGTACCCGAAATATTATATTTGTGTACCACAATTGTAAGGTTTAAAAAGCAATTAAACGCTAGAATGGGAATAATTGAGTTTAAGAGGAAACATTATTGTAGAGCATTTCACTTCCTTTCACGGTTAATTTCAATTTAATTTTCTGTTAAAGCAAATTTCCATAACAATTATTCACGCTCGGATAGTTATTTATCCATCAATTATACCTTTTCAATTGTTTACATAAAATCAGCTTAATTAATATTTATGATTGACTATATTGTACTTTGAAACAAGACAAAAAGCTAAAGAATACTTCATGTTTGAATTCTCAGAAATAGTTTAAAAAAAGCTGTATATTGTGAATACATTTTTATTTAGTGCGTAAATCAGTATTTTTAGATATTATTTTAATCATTACAGATATTTTACCGACCCAATCGAAATTTTCACGTTGTTATAATTTAATATTCCAAGTCATTAGTCAAAACTAAAATTGTTTTAATCGTTTCTATTTGTTTAAACAACAAAATAATAAAATATCGATTTCAATATTTTGTTTAAGAAAATTTGAATCGGTTAAAGTATTAGGTGTTTTAAAATCAACACTTATTCCACTAATAACCTTTTATAACTGCATGGATTATAGAATTATAATGAGAAATACTTTCGACTTTATAAAACATGTCATTATAAAACCGACGTTAAAACGTTTTATAAATACATTTCAAAGTTTAACTGATGTAAATACGTAGAACCGTAAGAACCGTAACGTGTACAAAAGAACCATTAGCCTTACGAGACTTGCATTGATGAATACCGAAATGTTGAATATTCGATTGAACACGAATTATCAATAACTAACCCACACCAATCGTATACAATTGACGTTTGTTTCGGGTTTCGTCACGTACACAAATGTTCCCGTTTCGATGAACTACACCGCTCGGATGCCAATGCCTTGCGAACAAAATGGAAATAAAAACTTACTAAGTTTGGACAACTTGAAAGCATCTGCCGTTTTGATAACGTCCACGTACGCTTGCAATTCGAATCTTCTCTCGGTGTTGTTCTGGTTGTGTTTGAACACGGCCAATTTGAACGCGGTCTGCACTTCATCGGATCCTTGCTCGAAGATCGCTCCTGAAAACCAAAACATCATCATCATCATCATCGTCGTCGTCATGTGGTATGCGCAATGAGTTTACTTTGGATACGGAACAAGATAAAACGGAGAGCTCGCGCTTCCGTTTGACTTATCACGGCGCAGGACTTATGACGACCGTACAGTGCAAAAAAAAAAACGAATTCCTCGTTTTTCTATTTCTGTTTCTGCGCTCCTTAATCGAATGGTACATCTATCGGACCGGCTAAAAATTTATCCTCGGTCTCGCACTCCGCCCAACTGTCTCTTTCTCCTTCCGCGTACGAAATCTCTACTACACTCATAGTCCAGTGCACATTTCGTTCGGCTGATCCCGCTAAGGCCGTTTTCCCCTGCACGCACTACCCTCCGCACCCTCATGGATGCGACTGAACACCGTGTACCGGAGACCGGATTCGCATTAAATCGTCTAGAAAAGTGTTATTAGAACGGTCGTAAGTTTTTATTTTACCCGTAGCCGTATCCGCGCCCCCCCTCCATCCCGTCCCGTTTCCTCACCATCCACCATATCACCATTCACCATATCCGCAGTGTATTGTGTTCTCGAAAAATGTTCGAGCCATTCGGTCCGGGTCACTTCATCGGTTACCGCAGCCTTCCCCGTACGTTTATACTATTATACCGCGCGCACGGGCCGACCGTTACGTTCGCCGAAACGGATCCCCTGAAAAATATGATGCGTATTCCGTGTTTCCAACGAAAAACAATCATCATATTTAACCAACCGATATCGGTACCAGACGGTTTAGTTGTTTAAGAAAATTTAATCCAACGGTATACTAGTGCTGTTAACCATCGAGGAAATTGTGTTTTTATTGAACCGTTTCGTAAATCGTAAATCGTTTCCCGTGTTCCGATACAGAATTAGTTTTTACCGTGGGAAAACTACCTTCGCGCCGACCGTTTTTGTTGTTTGAATCTTGAAGTTGAACAGACCATTCGAACATCAGGGTATGAATCATACGACGTTGGGCTGAACGCTAAACATTCAAATTAGCTCAATACGCTTGTATAACCATGAATGCGAGTTTTATTTTTAAATAATTTAGCTGCTATTGAATTTTCGAAAAAAAAAAAAAAAAAACTTAACAACACATGTCCACGGCCACACACATATGGAAATATGTTCGTTCTAAAAACAACTATATAGTTACCGTATCTATTTTTATTTTTTTGTTTAGCTCGAGAATAAAAGAAGAAAAGAAGAAAATAATATCAACTATGGATAAAAGACGAATAATTGATGATCAAACAAATATTTTAATTGCTACTGAAGTATTATTAAATGCCCGTGCTCCGGAATAGCCCATATTAATAATATTTATCGATTAGTATTTAACAATGAAAATTATGTTAATATCCGATACACGACAACGTAATACCGACGCACAGACGTATACGATGCAATCGTACTTATAATTTTCAACTATAATCGGATTGGTCCGCGATACAATAAAACCATATCGATACATATTTTTGTAAATTGAATTCTCGCTAAGTACGGTCATTGAATATAACTACGTAGTCCTGTCCTATGCAACAATAAGCTGTGCCGACCGAACCTTGTAATACGATTTTAGACATTGTAATAATAATAGTATTGTTAGTAATAGTACTTTGTGCGATTTAAAAATACCATTGTGGACTACACGACCGACGTATAACTATACTATTATACGAGTTAAAGGTTTATTAATATTTTATTTTTATTTTTTTTCCATCCCATATAAATCGCCCGGGAAAAACACGGCGTACAAACAACACGATTTTCGATTGGATGATTCATTTATTATAGAACTATTGCGCCTATAGCAGTCGCGTAGTTACACAATAGTACGGTAATACGACCTAAAAATTAAATATTACCATAAATTTCAACACGAGGTGTATACCAGCAAACATCAAAGTCGTCGTATTACAAACCGAATAATCGGCGATTAAACGGTTAAATGCAAAACAATAAAAAGATGCTAATAATTTTTTATTGTTACTTCGTAATAATAACAACGAATGATTAAAATCTAATACTCTAATAGTACACTAGAAAAAAAAAAAAAAATGAAATTATATTAAAGTGAAACCAATGCCAAAAATTTTGTAACATCGACCCTAGAGAGATCGAGTAGTAGATCACGATCGACTGATAAACGATTCCTGCTCCATAATACAATTATTGGTTTCTGTTAAAATCTCATTTAAGCAACATTTTTCAAACCGAAAGCAAACATTGAATATTATTAAACTTGCTACTTCTGAGAGTCGAAAGCATGGGCATTGATAAAAGTACAACATCATGGTGTTAGGTAAACTGTTAGAACTAACTTACCTACGTTTTCTAAATCATTCGAAAATCACGTTGTTATACGTTTCAGCGTTCTACCGGATACTAGTGTGCTTACACTGACCACATTAAGTACCGATCGAAAAACGAATTATTCTTATTTTATTTTCCTTAAATTGTTTTCTTAAATTCGATATAACCAATATGGAAATACGTTTTGCGCTAGACGTCACTACTGTTTCGTCGAAAATCGAGTATAGTGCATAGTATTATATCCTGCTCGTCCACCCACCGAATCCGGACTGCGGCTGCTTATGGTATTAGGTAGGAGATATGATGGGAAACCCGTGTATCGAACTTTGTTCTGTATACAATATTTAACCAACAACGATATCTCTCAGCGTTCTAAACACGAGAAAAGCTTTTGTTTACTGCATTTGTTCTGTTTCAGTAATTGTTTTTCTAAAATCCAATGACAGTTCATGTTTTGAAACAATCGAAGCGAGATCTCTCTGACTCGGAACAAAAATTGTTTTCGTTTTTGTTTTTTATTTTTTCATATCTCGTATTTCACTAAAACTGCTCCTTTGTCGATCATCCTAAAATATATGTATATATATATATATAAACACAAACGATGGACGATTCGCTAATACTATCCGCATGCTTACAAACTATTTCAATACACGTGGGTGTCGAATCGATGGAGCCGAACTCTGAACGTTTTGGTGAAGCTAAATCTAAAACTTATAACCCCCCTTCATCGATACATAACCTATAAACTTATCGTGTTAATCCTTTCAAATATTCTGGATACCCGTCCCCGCGTTTAGGATGCGAAGCCGCTGATTCGTGCGATTTACTCGCATCAGTTTGGTGCGACTGTCTCGAATAATATGCACCACCAGAAAATATATCGCGTGATTTTCAACGTTCTGCTACATGAAGTTTCAACAACTCGGTGAAGTGGTCTTGGACGTGGACACGCCCGATTTTTGGAATGTGATTTTACTGCAGCTAATCTATATGCAATAGGTACAACAGCAAGCTGTACTACGTAACAAATATTGATATAGAACAGTGGTCTTCAGCCTTTTAGACTCAAGATCCACTTTTCTTACCATACATTTTTCGTGACTCATGTAAACTTTGTTAGCCATGAAAACCAAAAAAAAATTTAAAATTGCTTAATTTACGCCATTATAGATGTGTTTTTGTAACTATATAAATTAAAATTCATATTTTTCTAGGTATCTATGTTATATTTAATTTTTATTATAAGTTATGATGCAAAAAAGAAAAAAAATGCATGTAATGCTACCGAAACAAGAATATGTAATAATATATATATATATACATAAAAAAAATCCTACATTATTGAAGATCCGATTTTTTTTCTCTTTTACGAAAAAAAAATCGACTCTGATAACCGTTATTAACGCTGATTGATACGTCTTAATAATACCATCAAAGTTGAGGTTTGATCTTAAAAATTAAATTCCTAGAATTCTTAATACAAGTTAATCACATTAGATCGATGCTCTGTATTGTGTATTTGATAACGTGTTATATTGAACTCCTTACGAGTTATCATTTATTCCGGAACCAGTATTGCATGTGTTGTAACACTATGTTACTATTATTAGGTCAACTGTCATCGTACTTTATGCGTAAAAAAAAATCAATATGGGTATATGCATGATGCACAGGTTGAGAATTAAAATATGACAATCTATATTAATACTATGTCGACGGTAAAACCGAAGACCGCAAAGACTGGGTGAAAAAACAATTTTGTTGGATTTTCAAGGAAAATTGTATTTTTTTAAAAAAAAAATATTTAATCTTGAATGATCTTAATAAAATGTTTTTTAAAGAATATTAACGAGAAAAAAAAAAACCATTTTCGAATTGATGACGTATCATAAAACTCGTTAAGAATATTAGCACATCGAGTAATGATCGTCAAACAGTTTTGTTACAAGACTGTGTTACACTACATGTTGCATAGGTTACAGACGTTAATTTTGAACAATACGTATCAATTTTAAATTAATAATAAACTAAATTTTAAAGTTGTTTTTGAACCACAGGCCTAGTAAACATATAAATGCAATAAATAATATTAGTTTAGTTTTCACGTTTAAACATCCATTTCCAAATATCATGACGTTTGAGATCGTATAAAAAACCAGTATATGATTTACTTATTCGACTGGTGTGGAGAACTGTGATTATTATTTTTAAGTTCATTGCAGCAATAACTCGGGTTTCGTGTACGATTCGTGTACACCAACCTTCTGCGCCGACCCACTATAAATTTCTTAATCTTAAAACGTGCACTTAGCGAGTTATAAAACGCGACGTGCAATAAGTGTTCCACGTTGTACTCGACTGTGACTTTGAGCAAGGCGAGTGTTTTAAGGCAATTTTAATACGTTGAAACGGCGCGCGCCCATTAGCTCTCCGCACAAGGCGATTGGACATTAAAAAGGCGAGAAATGCACGATCGTAAAGAGCGACACGCTTTCAGCGCGTTAAGCCCAACGAGAACACATTCTCCGATAAAGTACCGTTTGCTGAAGAATGCAATATTAGTTTGGTCGACCCGTTCGGGTGTTTTTACGCCGTCGTCTAGCGAACACCCGACAAACGTTAAACGTGCGTACGGAATTCGTGGGGATGGTCGTTG